ATACTTTAAAGTAGCAGTTGCCAACCTTTTGGACCTCATGGACCACCAGTGGTTCGCAGACCACTGGTTTGTGACCGCTGCCCTAAAGTATAGCTGGATGAGGGATACTTTTAAAAATGCTTCGTTTACTGGAAGAATGATATTTTGAGAAACTGAAAGTTCAGATATAATTATGTATCTTTCTGTCTTTCCTTTTAAACAAAATTTTAATTAAATTTTAATCGATAGGAGTGATAGAAAGAAACTTCAGACTGTGGCCAGAGGAACTGAAGATGGTGTAATGTAAGTTGTGGTGGACAGCACACCCCCCACCCCCACCCCCGGGTCTCCTTGCTTTTGTTCCCTGTAAACAGGAGGGAGTAGAACTCTGATTTATTTCTCTCATTGCTTTTTGTTGTTCATGAACTTAAGGTTGCATTTCATTGACTTTAAAGTAATTTCTGAAAGAAACATGTGCTGACATCACAGGTGTCTGGATCATTAACCATGCCAACGCCGAGCAAGGAAATAATGTGGCAGCAGAAAAGCCATTTGTTTAAGGTAAAGGCCGAAACGTTACCATTGCACACATGCCTATACGTGGTACACAGGATATTTATTTTCATGGACAGTTACCAGAAAATCTGGAAGTTAAAGAGAAGGTTGTTGATTAGAAGAGAGTATCAGGCCTGGATGTGTATTCTCCATTCTGCACCATTTTTCCTGCAAAATGAAACAGCCAACTTGTTCCTAACTTCAAGAGAGATCTGTTCTTTCACTTTATTAGAGAATGTGCTAGTTACAGCGTGGGGAGGGGGAGAATGATAGGGTGTAAAGATGAATGGTGAGGAAAGAAGCTGATTTGGAAGACAAATCCTATGGACAAAATTGAAGGAATTTATTGCCTAAAAAAAAAAAAGGAGCTTCTTATAACTCTTCTTTTATAGCAGAGGATGCTAAATGTTTCTTGTGGGCAGAGGGGCACCACCATATAATGAATTAATATTATGTAGATATTATGTTGGCATATACAGGGTGGGGCAAAAGTAGGTTTACAGTTGTTCTTATGAAAAATAATGCACTAATTAATAAAGAATAATACAAGAATAAACTCTGTTTTATGTACTCATAACTGTAAACCCACTTTTACTCCACCCTGTATATAACAAAAGAGGAAAGAAATTTCATATTTTGATAAAATTAAAAATATAATAAATGAGTATAATTTTTTTAATGCTCATCTATCAATAAGCAAACTGAAATCCTTTTTTGTGAGAAAAACATTTTGCGTGATTGGGATCACACATTGGTGTTCTCTTTTCTCGTTGGTTATAAATCTTCACGTATTCCGAGTTCACAGTCCAGACAAAAATAGGTGCTGGGCCCAGTTAGTCCACGGGCCACAGCTTCCTGGCCTCTTCTATGACGTTTGTGCAAACCCTGGGATCAGTAATTCTCGGCATCCACAAGGACTGTTAGAGGGAATGAGCATGGGTGTCAGCGATGGGGATCGGCGCTGCAGACGGGACCCCATAAACGAGCAGGCAAGGGCGGTGGGGGAGAAAATGTGGGGAATTAACTAACACTTCTGATCTTTAAATTTAGATAAGAAAGAAATCTCATAAAAAATGTATGCTCTCCATGCTATATCCAGACAATATTTATTTTTCCTAGAGGGTGACTTTACAAGTGTCAGTTTTTATGTTTTCCTCCTCCATTATACAGTTTTAAAGTTTGGTTCTGGTAATTCACAAAATGAATTTTATCTGTAAATAATGTCTGGACCTCAAAATGAACAAGCCATTTTCAGTGAAGGTCTATCAAATTCTGTGAAGTAAACACTGCATATGAATTTCTAATAAAGCAATGCAGTTACAAATACAGTATCTGGATTTTTTTCTTATTTCTTTTATTGTAGATTAAAACTCCATTATAAGGTACCATAATTTACTGTGAGCTGGGTTTTATTGCAGACAATTTTCTCCCTCTCTTACAGGGGTAGTTAATATTGACGAACACGTCACATAAACACCAGTGCTTCTGGTTCTTTCTCTAAAAGAAAAGCTCCAACTCCGATTAGAATAAGCCCGGCTCAATCGTGTTGGCGCTCTGGAAGTACCCCAGTAGCACAACTGTTCTGTTTATTGCCAGGAAGAAAACTCGGCAGACACATATAATACTTGCATCAACGTGGAAATAATTTGAAAAAGCTTAATTTTAGCAGAGCATTCAACATAAGCTTGTATTTCTTCTTCGCGCCTTAGTCTTGTCTAGTTTGTGTAGAACGCAATGCTTTTCTCATCCTAAAATGTACAAAGTTTGTACGGTACATTGTAAAGCAAATCACACATTTTCTGCTTACTGTCCACCAATTCTTTAAGATTCAGCCCCGTTGTCTCCCTGGCCAGGAAACTCCTCTCAGCAGCCCCCAAACCCAGGTCAGGGCACCGCCTTCCCGGTGCTCCCACCATCCCATGTGCGAATTCATATCATTACACATCCACCCTGTTTAATAAGTCTGTTTAGAAATCCATCTACCCACTTAGACTTCGGGCAGCTTCAAAGGAGGGACTGCATTTACTCCCCATTGCTTTGTCCTTGGTGCCTAGCACAGTGCAAACGTGTTCATTGTTTTTTAAGAGGTAAATGAATGGACTCATTGCAGGCAACTGGGCAGGTGTGAAGGTTCTCTTTCACCCAGAGAGGGACTATCACTATCTTCCAAGATAGTAACTGTTTTCCAAGAATATCAGTGTAACCATGCCATGATTCTAGATCAGCCGTGGGCAAACTACGGCCCGCAGGCCGGATCTGGCCTGTTTGAAATGAATAAAACTATTGAAAAAAAAAGACCTTACCCTTTTATGTAATGATGTTTACTTTGAATTTACATTAGTTCACACAAACACTCCATCCATGCTTTTGTTCCGGCCCTCTGGTCCAGTTTAAGAACCCATTGTGGCCCTCGAGTCAAAAAGTTTGCCCACCCCTGTTTTAGATAGGGGGTAAGGATGAGCACCAGAAAAGAATAGGAAGAGGAAGAAGAGATGCCCAAGAAGGAGAAATGGCCTTTATCAGAGACAAGGAGGAATAAAATACGGCCCGTGGGTTGCTGGACCCAGTTAGGGACAACAGTGTGTGCTCTTTGCAATGCTGGTGCAGGGTTGACAAATCACTATGAACCTTCCTTCCTCTCCCCTTCCTTCCCTGCCTCTCTCCTTTCCTTCCTTCCTTTCTCCCTTCTTCCCTCCTCATTTATTTATTTTATTATTTATTTGTTCATTCATTCATTCAGTCAGTCACTCACTTATTCATCCTTACCATTTTCCAATGCCATTTTGAAACTCCCTGCTTCTACTGAAAATAACCTAAGAGAAGCTCTGCTTGGCAATGCTTTGAGGAGACAGAACTCCTATCTCTACTCCCCTCCCCTGCTTTCTATTTTGAGTGCCACTGGTAATGAGGTAAAGAAAAAGGGAGGACTCCATCACCTTTTCATTGCTGAAAACATGGCGATTCTTTGACTCTTTTTGCTTAAATGTGGATGATGAGGATGCGGGGGAGGGAAAGCTTTGCAAAGCTGGGAAGCATTTTCCTTGGCCTTGAACACTAGGCCTGCAATACCCAGACTCCAAGTACAACCAGAGATGCCTCCCCAAGGCCAGAGGGCTCCTCTCACTCCTTTGTTTTGGGGGGCGGGTTGGGGGGTGAGAGAAGCATTGGTATAGCTTCTGTGAGGAGTCAAAACAAGTCTTTGATGTTTTTCCTCCATTCTTCTCCTGCCCCAAACTTCAGCCCCATCTCTGGGGCTGGGGACCAGCTGCAGATGAGCGACAGGTGGAAGATGGCACACTGCCTATCCTGAGTCGTGATTAGCAATAAGCCTAGAAGTGTGGGCTGGGGGTGACCTGCCCAGTGCCCCAAGAAACATCTTGGGGAGACTCTGGGAGGGTAGAGATGTGGACATGGCTGGTTTTTTGTTCACCAACTATCTAATCCTCATGGCAATTATTCAAGAATTGTGTGTATGCACTCAAGATAACATGGTTTTCATTTTTTAAGGCATCCATAGTAATTAGAAAATGAGAAGAATTACTAATTTTTTATAGCAGTCTGTTTTTAAAACAAAGTATTAATATTTCCAAGCAGTAATGAATGTGGCGATATGACGGAAGCACTGACCCAGCAGGGAACATGAGCCTGCTTACCATGATTAGTGATCCAGCCCGCTGCTTACATTTTAAAATTAGGGGAAAAGCTACGCAAGTTCCTTTGTTTCTTTCAGTATTCTTGTCTCTTCTCTTGCTACTGTTGAATGCTAGCAAACACAGTTAGTGTTCTGATACAAAGGGTAAATTTTCTAGTTTCAAAAAGAAACTGGATTATTTTCCAGAGATTATAAACGTTTTCCTACACTTATAAAGGAAACACAAATAGAAGGAGGACTTCATGTTTGGTATTTTACAAAGGTCTTGGAAACCATTCGGAGGGCACTGCGTTTGCAACACCCAGGCTGGAGGAAAGGAGGAGAACATTCCTCCAGATTTTAACCACTTCAATGGCAGGAAGGAATATCCAGTGATGGCGAACCTATGACACGCGTGTCAGAGGTCACACGCGAACTCATTTTTTTGGTTGATTTTTCTTTGTTAAATGGCATTTAAATATATAAAATAAATATCAAAAATATAAATCTTTGTTTTACTATGGTTGCAAATATCAAAAAATGTCTATATGTGACACAGCACCAGAGTTAAGTTAGGGTTTTTCAAAATGCTGACACGCCGAGCTCAAAAGGTTCGCCATCACTGGAATATACCTTAGCAGTTTAGAGTAATTAAGCCTTGAGAATTACTTGGGCATTGTCTCACTATCACTTGTATATCATAACATTCTTTTCATTGTTGTGTAAACATATTTTTGTTAATTCTTACAAGAAAACCTAGTTTTAATAAATTAAGTAATGAGTGTCACTGATAGGACTCATGAAGGTAATTACTGCAAACAACTGGCATACTCACAATTGCATTTCTTCTGAACAAACCGAAGCTTGCACGCTGTTCTATAGGTGGAGAGTCGGATTCGATCCAGCTCTTGAGCTCCTGGGGGGGAAACGTACACATATGGTATGCCATGTGCGTGGAAGGGAATTTATAACATTTTTAAAGAAAACAACTATAAATATAACCCATGCACTTAATTTTGTTGTTATTAGAACATAAATATAACTTGAAGACGTGGAAAGGTCTGTCCCGTATTCCTCAGGTTATGAGAAGAGAGCACATGTAATCAACGCTGAAGGTCAGGTTGTCAACCGTGTTCACCGGCCAAGACACCCAACCTCGGCCCTGCAGAGGCTGCCACGAGGGAGCACAGTCTGCTCAAGCTGTGACTTGAACAGCCAGATGGTAGCGATGGTAATATCATCGTCATCATTTTAAACGCGCTGTCACTGGTCATTAGATCGAGGCTGTGGGTGGGCACCTGCTGAATGTTGGGCATCTTTTCTGCTTGACCTGAGGCCAAATGCTTTCGGAAGTCCTCGTTATCTTGTCTAGAAGACAGGGATGGGGATCCCTCTACTGTTGACGTCATACGCTGTCAGGGTAAATGAGTGACTCTACCCAAGGCACCGAGAACACTGCCTGGCACACAGTGAGTGCTGTGCAGGTCTTCACTGTTATTCCCCGCATCTCACCACAGTCTCCCTGTCAACCTCGGAGGAGACTCCTTTCTGAAAACAACCGCTACTCTTCCACTGTGGTTTCCCTTCCCTTCCTGATGAAGAGGAGCATGCTCCTTATGTTTCTGAGCTGCGTTCCCTATTCATTCCACTCAGGAATCCCGCGTGGCTTATGATGCCCACAGCACCCAGTCGGGAGGCTCCTCTGCTCAGAATCCAAGTTCCTCTGCAAGCTCTTCCCATCCTCTCTTCCAACAAGAGTCCCCACTACTCTACCCCAGAGCTTCCCCTTGCAAACGGCCGCTTGTTACGTAACCTGAGTTTCCCCCAAATGGGTTTATCTCTAGACTGTGTCTGGGACACAGCAGACTTTCAACAAAGGTCAGTTCTTCTCTGCTTCTAACTCTTTGGCTTCATCGAAGCCCGTGTTTCTGGTTCATACAGATACAAAGGCCCATACCTGGTTTTGACATGTGTTGAACTTTCTCTCCACCAGTAAAAGTGCTCCATAGATGCTTCTGAATATAATAGTTAGGGTAGCAAGGAAATGAACTGGCCTGAAAGTAATTATATTAGGTGACCAATTACTCGCTCTCCTAATGAAACTTGGGATGAATGAGCAAGTGTCCTTCACTGAGAGCATTTAGCATTCCCTCAACTCAAACGGATCTCTTTAGATTCATTGAAAAACACTATCAATACTCCCATTACTTCATGGTTTAATAAGGCATGTACCTAAATATTAATTCTTACAGAAGTGTATTACTTGACAAACAGGCCCATTGATACCAGGTGCTTGAAGGATCAAAGAGGCAATGGAGAAATTCCCTTCCACATGTTCTCCAGAGGTAGACATTTTAGCCAATGGCCATGAGGATTATTTGCAGTGACAGGGATGATTATAACATAGTGAAAATAAATGGACTTGCTGTGTGAACTTTGACAAGTTTTAAAAGTTATTTCCTCATGTGTAAAAGGGGGAAAATATCAACTTTATTGGCTGGTAACCTACGGAGCTGGCACCTAGCGAGAACTTTACAGCAATGGCCTCCTGTGCCATTTCTGAGCAACAACAAGTGACAGAAATTTCTTTTTTGCATTTGATTTTAATTTGCCTTTCTGCAACTTCAATCCATTTGACCTAGTTTCCCTTCTGGAGCCACATAATCTTTTTTTCCTGGCACTTGAGAATTTACTTCTCAGACAATGGGAAGCCACTATCATGATCACTGTGAGCATCTTCATTACCATCTGAAGATCATGTACAAAAGGCCCTGTTATCACGAGTTTAGGGTTTAGCTGGGGAGGTAGCTTCTCCTTGACTTTTCAGGTCCAAGAGGTTCAACTGCACAGCCATTTGAAGCACAATGTCTAGCACTGAGCATGCCACACAATTGGCTTCCATATATGGAGGTGGCCATTATTGTTCTCATTATCATCAGGCAAAGATTTGGGGCCCTAACCATTCTCATCGCCCTGTTCCATGACTGGCTAATATCTCCTTGACACAAGATCTACAAAATTAACCCAACCTGTATAGAATAAAGGAAGTAACTACTATCACCTTTGATGAGGACACTTACTAATGCAATTCATTCTTGGGCTCTTGGTAAGCTTGTAGTTTATTAAGAAGCTATTTTTAAAAAATCATATGTACTTAAACTAAGTCAGATTTTCCCCCTATTTTCAATTTAAATGCTTATTTGGGGTGGGGGGCTTCAGGTAGGATTTCATACTTAGTTTCTTTTATTTTTTTCAGCTCATGTTTCTAATCTTTCTGATATTTTTAAAAATTTTATTTTCTCACTGGCATTTCATAGGGGCTTCCCAGTTTCAGGTCCTCTACATCCGAGAGGCTCATGGATGCTGGATAACCAGGCAGAGCAATGATCAGAAATACCCGGATGCTAAATCTGTCTTTTCCCCAGGATGAGGGTGTTGTCTTATTGATGCGGACTTAGGCTCAACCATCAGGGAAGTCTCAATATCTGTAAGTAATCCTTTAGAAGAAGTCATTAGGGACATAGATTATTTGTGTAAGTTTTTCAAGAATAATGATTTAAGCCCCAGGTAGAAATGGATGATGATGCAGCACATGGTTCAATTTCTTAGTTCCAGCAAGACCTTAGCCTCTGAGCAGAGAAACCCTGGCTCCTCTGCACCTTCCTCCCAAAGAGGTCCTGGGGCAACATGGGACAGGTGTGCCTCTCCAGGAGCAGGAAGAGGGAAGGAGAGCTGATATGTAGGGACAGGAGTGCACTGACTGCTCACCTGCCCCACCACGACATGGACTTAACAGACCCTCTGTTTTATTTAAGAATTAGGAAGAGATCTGTAGGTCTGTCAGTGTTTCCTATTTATGTATATTCTTCTTGGTTGAGGATATAAGGCCTCAATATTAACAGGGATGTGGTGAGCAAGGAAAATTAGTCTTTCAGATATAGCAGCACACCACCTTGCACTGACAATGTAAGTGGCAAACACAAGATCCATAATGAGTTCTGGAACCAAAAAAAAACAACAGACCCCCAAACAAACAAAAACCCCACCTCTGACCTGATGTATGGCGTGCAGGCTCTTGCTCAAAATAAATGTATTTGTCTCTGCCTCAATAAACCATACACTTAATTCAAGTTTACATGTGCAGTCTCTTCTTGAAAATCTGTAGATTCATAACCTACCTGGGAGTAGCTGCATGTCTTCTGTGTCCAAAAGTATAGCTTAAAACCAAGGGCCTGACAGGGCCACAAAGAGTCTTCTGGTCCTTCTAGGGGCCACCCTCCAGGTTGCCTGCCCATTACTTACCCTTCAGACATGGTCATAACACTACCTGCAAATCTCCCTAATTGTATGGTGATCCAGCTCATGTTTCTACAACACATGCACAACTTAAGAGACTTTGTTAGTGTCTTGATGAGATTAAGGTCCATTTTTAGCCTATGATATTTTCCTGAGCTAGTAGCCTTATTAAAAAGGGAAATTAGCTGACTTAATTCCTCTATAAAAAGGGATGGAATCTGAATAAATGAATAAGGAAGTAAAGTCAATAGAGCAATCCTTGTTCTTCGCTTGTTGAAATGTCTAGGGTTACCACTATCTTTTGTTCGTGATCTGAACAGTGCCTCGCTGTTCGGTAGTTGTTCAAGGACTGCATGACTTTGAAAATACTGGGAAACAGAACCCCGGGCAGGGACATGGCTCTTTTGTGATGGGCACTATTAATGCAATTGACAGTGAGCCCACCTTAAGCTGCTCCATCAGTATAAGCTCTGACTATGAGGAAGCAAGGCAGGAAGGGGCACTGTGTTTATATGCTGGCTGCTCTGGATAAACTGGTCCCTGAGACTATGAGAGGTGGTTCTGAAGGAATTTTTTTAAAATATATTTTATTGATTTTTTACAGAGAGGAAGAGAGAGGGATAGAGAGTTAGAAACATCGATGAGAGAGAAACATTGATCAGCTGCCTCCTGCACACCCCCTACCGGGGATGTGCTCCCCACCAAGGTACATGCCCTTGACCGGAATCGAACCCGGGACCCTTCTGTCTGCAGGCCGTCGCTCTATCCACTGAGCCAAACCGGTTAGGGCATGGAATTCTTGGACACTTAGAGCCAAAACAACAATGGTGAAGCCTTGACAGAAAATCAAATTGTATGTGAAAGAACTGGTCAAGAACAAAACTTTGGTTTTGACTTCAGATGGCTGGGAAGATACTGAGAGACAGGAAAAGAGAAGTAGAGTGGTCAGAAAAAGCAGAGGACCAGACCAGGGTGATGGTGACACAAGAGAGAATTTGCAGGATAGTGACCCATGGTGCTAACGTTTTGAAGAGGCTGAAGAGCATGAGATAAAGAAGTAAAAATAGTCATTGCAGCCACTGTGGCCTGTGGTAGCAGCAACACCCATGCCCTTTTTCTGAATTTTTGAAGTCAGTTTTCCTAATTCACAGTGTGCACTGCAGAAACACGCCCTGTAGTGAGCACTCAGAGGAAAGACCGCCTTCAGACATTCAGCAGTGCTTGTCGAGTGCCCGCATTTACCCTTTGATTTCTGGCGAAGACTTTTCTTCTCCTGTTAGGAAGCCTCCCAAGTTCTGAAAGAATGTTTTCCAATCAGCTTCCCCTCAATAAAAGCTACCTATCCTGTGTCCTGGAGGCTTTTAAACCAGCATTGGTTCAGCATTAGGGGAATGGATTTAAGGTAAATGCCCGGGTCTGTCCCTATGGAGGAGCTCATGGTGCGTGACGTGGATGTGCGCACAAGCACGTGTCGCACAAGGTGGAGTAAATGTGCTCTGACAGCAGGAAGACAGAGAAGGTGAGTTTAATTCCAAGCACAAACTATTGATTCTGCTAAAATCCAGGTTAATAAACTTATTTAAGCTGATAAACTTATTCAATGACTAGAAAGGCCAAGGTGAGAATGACATTTACATTTAAGCAGTCTTTTCAGCTTTAGTCTAAGGTACTAGCTCAACTGATCATTAGGGCATTATCCTGAAGGTGCTCTTTGGTTTAAGGGCAGCTTGCCCAGCATTTCTTTATTCAAGGAGGCGGCCATGGAGTTACTATTGTTTTTTTATATGTAAGGCTAGTCTATTTTGCTGTTTTAGTGAGCCCACGTGACTCTTAATTTCATTTCTTTGCCGTTTCTTTCTACTTTCTGCTTGTGGTTATGAGCTCAGAGTAGATGTGTCACGCACATGTGCTGCAATCACCTGAATGTGCCAGGATTTCCTATCAATTGTTCTTCTTATTAATTGTTAGTTTCTGCCCTTGGCCTTTGTAAAGCCAATATGCCTTAATGTTCCCCTCAGCTTGACTAAACTTGAGTCAGACTTCTTCCTGACTCTAGGCCTCTGACCTCCCTCTTCTTAGAGCCTTTACTTAGAAAACTTTCCATTGTAAATTTGTTATGTGCCCCATTGAGACATAAATTCCCAGTTTCTGGCCAGTTTTACAGCCCAGATATATCCTTCCTAGGACCTGGGAACCATCCCTTTGAAATGTAATCACTGAAGGAGCTCTCCCAACTTGAAAAATGTAGAGCTCTCTCTCTTTCTTTGGCTATAAAAGTTATGTTGACCCTTCGTTGAGTTGGACAACTTCAACGCAAAAGTCATGTGCGACATATGCATTTTTCTGTGCTCAACACTGCACCAGGGAGAAGGCACGCAACCTTTGGTAAGTATTTTAAAAATCATTAAGTAAGTACACATTTATAATTCTTACAGTGTGTTTGCCAATAAAGTCTTTAATGTAACAATAAATTCAAACATTTCCCCTAAGACTTTACTGTTTTTTTTATGTTAAATATTAAATTTTTTAAATTTCTGTAACAAAACACTGGCCCATGATGTACCTGGCTCCTGCCTTTTCAGTCTAAGAACCTGTGATATGGGAGGATATCTGTGCTGCCTTGTATTTTGTTTAGATGGGCAGGCAGTAACGAGGTTCCTTGATCTGCTAGATCTGTATCAATAAGGTCATAAGTCCAGGTGACCGGCCATGCCACAAACGAAGACCCAGTACCAAACATGGCCTAGCAAATTGGAAGGTCATGGCGGAAACACTCACGGGCACTGCAGACATGCTTCTAAAAGTGGAAAAAGCAAGGAGCATGATTGAGATTCCCCATCTCAATTTTAATTTTCTTTCCTTTGTGTTAGTTCCAACACTGTCTTGGTGTCACCCAATTATTGGGAAATGATAAAGAGAAATATGAATCTTATTATCCTGTACTTTCTTTATCTGCTCTGACCCTCATTCTTGCCAATCAGTTCCAATCTTCAGTAGAAACTTAATTTTTGTCTACTGCCTTTTCAGGGAAAAAGGCTTACCACTCACTTCTGCTCATCCTCATTCCTTATGCGGGGGAAAAAGAGATCAAAAGACAATAAGAGAATTGTACTTTTCTCTTCATAACTTTTCATTTGAGATGTGTGCTTTCCTCCCAATGTCAAGTTCTTCCTTATGAATAAGAAACATGGTCTACAGGGGAGACATTACTGACTACAACCATATATATATACATAAACCATGGCCTCTATTTCATGGGTTCTCCAATGGCTTGGTTTCCCTTTATAGCAGGTGCCCTCAAGGGCTCTTTTAAAAAATATTTTTATTGATTTCAGAGATGAAGGGAGAGATAGAGAGAAACATCCATGATGAGAATCATTGATCAGTTGCCTCTTGCACGCCCCATTGTGAGGATCGAGCCTGCAACCCAGGCATGTGTCCTGACCAGGAATCGAACCATGACCTCCTGGTTCATAGTTTGATGCTCAATTACTGAGCCATGCTAACAGGGCGTGTGGGTTCTTTTTAACTTTTCATCTTTTTAGAGACTGGTCTGTGGGACAGATCCTTCCCTACGGCATGAAGTCTAAATGACAGTATATCGTTTTGTCTGGTAATCACACAGGACTCCTCTTTCCCATAGAAACATATGCCATCATTCAGTAGATGAGACATTCAATGATTCATTTCACAAATTTTATCACTGCCTACAACATGCTGGACGCTGACAGTGTAGAGAGATGAACCCAGACTTTGAAGTTTAGTGGACTCCATTAAACGCTAACATTGAATAGTGTTTCTAAAGTGTTGTGTATGTGTGTATATATACATATATTTAGGTCCATGAAACTTTTCCTTCATATAAAATACAGAGTGTAGTAACACATTGTGATATTTCACTAATTTAACTTTTCCCTTCTAGCAGGCAAAATTCCTCAAAGTTACATTTTAAGCAAAGAAATTTGGGATTTTAAATAAAAGTACCCGAGTCATAGAATTTCATGTATAATCAATGGACACTATAGGGTCTTTCATGAAAGTTCTGTACTTACTCATCTCTGCAAACAGCTGTCTTCTTTCTGCCATGGTATTTCCTCTTTTCCCACTATCTTCAATCATTCTACGAGACAAAATGGGTACAGCGGGTATTAGAATGAGGCAAATGGTCATTTCTATAGAAACACACTTGCCCTGGTTATGCCACAGACACAGAGACAAACTAACACTGTGTATTTCGAAAGTATAGTTTTACTTTTACTAACTTAAATTGCTGTACATATTTTTGCATATATAATGTTGCTGTATTTGTTTGATTTTTTATTTTCTAACACAAAAATATCTACAGCAGAAAATGACCTTGTGTCATTACTAAATACAGTCCTATCCAGTCTGTTAGGTGATTCTAATCTTGGGGATTCCTGTGAAGAATATAAAGCAGATATAATGTATCTCATTCAACAAACGAGGAGACTGAGAGGCTCGTGAACTTTGTGAAGGGAATGATGTAGACCTGTGGGCGCCAAGACCAGAACGCCTTTCACCACATTCTGCTGCAAATTGTCCCTTGTGCACCCCAAACCTCCATTTAGAAACAGGTGATTTTCTAAATGTTCACCTCGAAGTTGAGTGTTTGGAACTTGCCACCGTTTTTCTGTACATAATTTCATGGAAGGTGGTTGGTTAGGTTCACATCTCTCTGCTTAAATAAACATACTATCTATAGTGGGACTATCTTAAGAAATACCAAGAGTTAAAACAGAGAATGAAAAAAGCTACAAATAATTAAAATTTGACTTGAGGAAAATGAAGAAAATGAGAAAGTTAATGGAAATGTTTAGTCTGATAGAGGGCTTTGGGCTAAATATTAAGGATTTTACAGGTTGATGGAGGTGATTTTTTATTATATCTAATTGAACTTTTAAAAATTAAAGTTTCACCTCTCTTATATACGTATGTGTATACATTTATATTGATCCCATTATGTTTTGATTCTTGGGCATGGTAAGCATAAGGCACAGCTGATCGTTGTGCCTGTTTTTCCATGGACCCTCTTTCTCAATATGGGAATTTGTCCATGCTACTTATTATTATTTATTTTTGGTCTGGGTTGCCCTTTTCCTGTGCTTAGCTAACTTGCAGTTACCCTTCAGGTCTCAATTTAGACGTATCTTCCTCTGAAATCCCTCCTCATTCAATGATTGGCTGGGTTCATGCCTTTCCTCTGAGTCTTCATAGCCCTCAACGCTGAGCTTACCAAACCTTTATTGATGTCCTCTATACTCCAGACACCAAACAAAGCTCTGGGTATAAAACAGTGATCAGCTCCAGCTCCTGCCCTCACTGTGCTTCCACTCTAGCGGGGAAGACACAAAAGCATATAAACAACAAATGCACAATGAGGTCATTATAGCTGTAGAAGTGGCAAGAAGGGTATGTGACTGTGAGAGAGGCTGATTACCTGGGGCTAAAGGGAACAGAACCACTCGCGGAAGACTGCTCAAAAGGTAAGGGTGCTGGTTTCTCTGAAAAGGGCATCAAAGGAGCAGTGACTCTGGAACAGTTTTAAAGGACGCATAGGAATTTTCCAGGTAGAAAGGAGTGAAGGAAGGACTCGGGGAAAGCGTGGCACAGTGTATAGGGTGCATTTGGCGATTGGGGCTAGTTTGGTACTGCTGGGTGCAGTGCGCATGGAGATGCTGGAGAGGTGAGCAGGCATCAGAGCCAGAGAACCTTTGTCATGTCCAGACAGTCAGAGCTTTGCTCTGGGGCACCGGGAGCCATCCGAGGTGGAAGTAGGGATTGATGTGTACGGATTTAGATTTTGTCAAGATTACTCCCCACAGTGAGTGCAGGGGAGACTGGGTCGGCAGGGGGTCAGAGCACATGACTAAGGGACTGGTGCAGTTAGCTGGGTACTTCTGTGATTCGGGAGTGACAATATTCTGTGTTAGGCAAAAGGACTGATTTGAGAGATTTAGGACACATCCAATAGCACGTGGTGATTGGCAGGTCACAGGGAGAAGAGCAGAGAGAATCCGAGCCTTTGCCTCCCCTCAGCATTTCACACAGAGAAGCATCCAACCAGAGGCGATAATGAGGTGGTAGGAGGTGAGCTCCCCGTTACCTGGCCCAGCCTCATCATTAACACAGAGCTGCAGGCTGGACAGGGAGAGTCCCCCTCTTTGTCCTTGCCTATGGGGGAGGAGTGAAACGACAGAGTAGAACAGCGTGGGAATCAGCAAGGTACAAAGAATAAACCTACATGTAGGTCACGGGCTATTAGAATAAATGTGAATTGTCTTTTGAAACAGGGAGAACACGTCCTCCAGCCACTTCCTTCACATCTTTAACGCCCCGTCATCCACAGCATACATTTCTATGCCACGTGGCACAGAAGACATTTTAAAGGGAGAAGCTTAACCCAATGGTGTCTTACATTTGGGTGAATTTCCCCAGATTATAACATGTGTTTGCCGGCAGCCTTTCGAGGAGGAAGGGGAGATACGATTCCCAGATTATAGCTGAAGAACTTGAGACTCCAGCAGGTAGAGTGGCCATACAACAAACTGTACTCTGGCAGGGCCGGAAATTGAGTCCTTTCTATTTTTTTGCTTTTAATTTTAAAATTCTGAAGCCAGTATGGATTCTAATCACCAGTCACCGTATTCCAGCTGCCACTGTTCAATACAAATAAGATCCTTCTGAAGCTGGTAACGAAGCTGGTAGGCGCTGGTGGCTCAGGCCAGAGGGGAATGGGGAGGAAGGTCCCAGCTCTCTTGGATTCCCCTGAGCGATGCCTCTGCCTACTTCTGAGCGGGTCCTCCGCTTTTAAAACACCGTTACCCTGGAGATAACCATGGTGATTGAGATCATTCCCAGCACCCAGGTTTCTGTCAACCCAGACACATATCATCACACCAACTCGCACCCCGGTTCACACTCTCGGTGCCAAGCCGCAGAAGCCAGCGGGGTTGTTAGAGGCGCCTGGCTCTGCTTTGCAGCCGCTGCACTTCAGCAAACAGCTTAAGATGCGCAGACCTTGTGTGCAGGGCGACAAGACCGCGCCCAGGCTCTCTGTTCCCCGTGTCGCTCCGGCGGGTGACAAGGAGATGCTGGCTCAGCGATCGCCAACGCTGCCCACTCCCTGGAGTTAATCAGCGCAGTGAAGGCCATGCCACGGGCTCGCCCCCTCTGACTGATCTACGGGCGGCACAGAAATGCCCGCTCCATTTCTGCTCATGAAAGAGGCCTCTGGTGTGACTTCCGCAGATTTACATTCGAGTCTAGTCTTCGGCAATATAATAAAAAGTGTTTTGCGCTCTTTCCCACAATTGCGTTTGCTTTCACGTCCTCGTCCTTGGCTGAGAGGGGCCCCGAGAAGCAGGAGGGTGCTGCCTCTAAGATCAATGGCAGCGATGCCTTTCACTTTGAACGTCACCTTCTGCTCCTGGAACCTGGGCCTGGTTTTGGGGGGCCGGGGGCATGAGCTGTTCCAGGGTAATGACCAGCTGGATACGTGAGGGACCTGGTCTTCCCTGGACAGTATGCGCCACAGCAACTGCCATCACACCAGCCTGGAGAAAGGATCAAAATGCAAATAGCAGATGCACTGAATCTGGGGTTGGAGCCCAGCAAAGGCCTGGGGTGGGGTGGGGACCCAGTGATGGGGGTAAAGGGGGAAAAAGAGGGGGAGCAACTGTAATGCTCTCAACAATAAAGATAAGAATAAGATAAAAGTACCATAGGTGTTTCTGATACCCTGCCAGGTCTGAGCTGGAAATATGATACTGGTTGAGCTTGACCATGTGCTTAACTGTCCAATAGGGTGGAATTTTTACTTTGCTTTATAATATGTTTCTCTAGCTTGTAAGACACACTATCAAATCTACTTTGAGCCAAGGGACAGGTAATTCATTCTTTGGGGAATGTGAATACACAGAAATATACACATACTTTAATATGGGTATCTAATGAGGTGAACTTTTAGACAATAGAAAATGCCACTGAAAATGAGAAAACCATTTTCATTCTGGGAAGAAGTGCTCTCAGTGGCACTTTCCCGCCAGGAAGGAGCCTGCTGTTTGGGGTAAGTGTGTGGACACGACGTTTAAGGATGTTCAGTTTTGTTTGTTTCATTTGATTTCATTGGGCTTATGAGGCAGCGCTCCTGCTCAAGACAAGCTGGTACCGCCTCCCCCCGCATTACTATTGGGAAGGCATCAAAGACAGGAGAGCGAGGTGGGAGCCACTTGGCCTGGGGAAAGAGGAGCCTCTTGGAAGGAAGATGATCAAACCTGGAATTCTGTCAGTGAGTTCAAAGGTATAAGAATGTCTCTGAAGGATGGGGAACCCTGATGAAGAGCCTCATCAAAAGGACCCCAAGGGCCCCAGGGACGACGGCCATAAGGAGGGGTGGTCTGTACTGCTGCCACCAGCACTGCATTGGGACCTAAGTCTTTTTAGAGAATCATGTTCTATCCGACATGAGGTGCCTTTGAGACGTGTGTGTGTGTGTGTGTGTGTGTGTGTGTGTACGTGTACGAACATGTATGTACATGCATCTGCATTTCTCAAGAGCAGTAATGTTGGGGTATAGCCCCCCTTGGTCAGGCAGAACTATGGCTGACCTTACCACTGGGCGAGTCTTCCCTGCCCTCCTGCTGGGATTGCCCAGGTCTTAACCTTTGCAGGAGGGTGTAAGGAAGTGACTGCCTTTCAGTTATTTGGATCTTTCTTGATTTAATGTAAGATGTCGCTGTTCATACACATAGGTCTGTGCCTTTTTCCTACCTATCTAACAAATGAAAACAAATTAATGAAAAATCCCTTCCCGTCTGTAATTAGAAGACTATTTTTCACCAATCTTGCAATAAGACAACTCCAAATTTTGTAAGTGAATTTTTGAGCCCTATTTATCTCATTACATTGAGATCATATACAGCCATTTATAAAAGTAAAACAGATTAGTAAACTTTGAAGATTGTAATTCCTGTTGGTGTTTCTCAGTGGTTAGAGCACTGGCCTGAGCACCACCAAAGGGTCTCGGGTTCCATTTCTGGTCAAGGACATGCACATGGCTTGCTCTCTGTTTCCAGGTTGGGGCGCTTATGAGAGGAAATC